TGAAACATGCAGTCCAGAGTCCAGGAGAGTCTTACAGGCTTGTCCGCCTCTGATATGGGCTCCAGGCCTTGAGCTTTGTGGCGTGCGTAGAGAAAAGTGTCTGCCCAGGAATGCTAGTGCATTTCACCAAGACTCGGCCGCATCGGCTCAAGCATCACTATCGGGCACAAGTCGCAGACACATGGGAGCTTGCATCGTGGTCGAGTGGCTCTGCTTGTGCATCTGTCACACTGTTACACAGCCCTACACAGCCCATGTGCCCATAGTGTTCGTTTCGGTGAGGGAGCTGCATGCACAGCCAGCTGAAAGCCCTGCGTCGTCACATGTGATTTCAGGGGTGTATGGTCAAGGCCGCATTGTCTCCAGCTGCAGCACATGCCGGAGAGTGTCATAGACATTCCGACGCCCATCCGCATGTGATCTCGCTTCGAGGCACAATTTGCATCATACGTCGTTCCCTAGATCGTGGATGACCCCCAACACCCTTGCGTCGGAGACTTTGCAGCCCCTACAGCTTGAAATCGAGGCCATCGTGCTACAGAAGCACCGCCCTTCGAGCTATCAGCATTCACTTCGGAGCTTCCGATGACTTCCCGCCAACGCCAGGGTCGCCGCTGGCAGATGAGGTTGGGGTGAGACCTGGTATACTGGCCTTACGCTGCAGGGGCTCGTCGCTCATCTCGTTGATTGTCATCACCCCTTGCTGCGCGTTCTTGCTCTCCAACTACAGCTGCTCAGTGCAAAGAAGTGCTTCCTCGGTTTCTGGAAAGGATTCACCGATGTCGTCTTTGCTGTCGATGGATTGATGCCTGCATTTCGCAACATTGTCATAAGATTCGCACTATCTGCTGTGTGTCCTGCCCGAAATGAGATGGCAGACTCCTCAGGGCAGCAGAAACGGATGAAAGGTCAGGATGACACATCATTTGTTACACGCGCTGTCACATGAGTGAAACTTTTCATTGCGCTTGCCGAAATGAGCCGTCTTCGCTATGTGCTGGTGGGATCTTGTGGGGGGTCTGTATTGTCGTCACGACCAGCATGTTCTGCATTACGCAGCTTCTGTCAACTGAAGGTTCCAGTGTGGAACTGAAACCTGACCGAAGGACCTTGTTGAGAGATGCTGAGTCGAAAAAGCATGCTATTGCACCGCTGGGGCGCCAACGTCACGAGCCTTCATCTTGCAGAGGACTTGCACCACTGAATGAATCATCGGTGCGCTGGCGAGTTTGGTCGTGGACCATGGGCCAAGAACATAGTCAACAGCCCCTTGGAGCCTGGCTGCTGGAGCGCAACGAACATATATTCACCTTTCCAGTGCTTTGCGACCTGCTCAACAGACGAGAACTGGTGTGGAATGATCAAAGTACTGGGAGGCAGAAAGGCCTGGAAGACGCAAGGTCATGCTGTACCAGTTTTCCAGTACGGTAAGTTGGCAATCACTTGGATCGTGAAGCGCCTGAAGTTGTTCGCGAATCTCACAGCAGCCCCGTCCACATTGCAGATCACCTTCAGTAGATGCATGGGCGACCCGTCCGGGAGATGAATGCATTATCACTGCAGCATCCCGGAGCCATTTCACGCGAGACCCGTCCGTATACTTTTGAGAATATTTTGATGGAAAACCACCCTTACGGCTGCCATCGCCTTGGTGTCCCGTGCAGGAGCGATACACAACCGTGCCCCGGAGAGAAGAGGTGGGAGAGAAAGGACGTAATCCACATGAGCGAGCAGAATGTGCCAGCGCTGATGAAAAGACTCCGGGGCTCAGCACGGTTTCGTTCTATCATACATGGTTCTCAGGATTTCTCAAAAAGCGGCACGGCTGAATATCCTCCCAGAGCCTGTTGACTTGCCGAAGAGAATCTCCTGGGTCTATGGCTTGCAATGCTCCTGCGGTCAGAAGATTCGGAATTTTGGACGGAGATCCTTTCGCAGGTAGTCCCAGGCTTCAAGATGCGAGATCATACGCATGTGCGAAGCTCTGCGTGAGGAGTGAAAAGAACGGCGCATTTGCGCCGGCCCCGAGCCCCCAGGGATATGCGCTGAGTCCCGAGGCTATGATCCAGAGATGCGTCTCTATGGTGGCGAGGAGATGGAGATTGGCTTGGAAGCTCGGACAGGCGACAGGATGGTGTTGGCCACGTCTGCACAGAGGAGCGTCTAGGTCGATAATCTGATGCCAAGTATGGCGAGCATCTACGTAGCTGAGGCTTCCGAACTTGGATGTCGGCCGCCCAGAGGTGTCCAGCTACACCGGATCAGATTGAGGCTGGCTTTACACCCTCGGGTTTGTTGAGTTACACCCGATTCGCACGGTGCATGTGAAGGAGACTGCAAGATTTAGCCATGTCCATTTTTCATACGTATTGAACCGTCTTTTGCCGTCTTGGTGGTCCAAGCCTTGTGCTCGTCGAGATGCTGCGCTTTGCTACTCCAACGACCACAACTCTCCGTGGCCTAACCCCTAACTACTGCCAAAGACTTTGCATGATTTTTTGTCCGGGCTCTGGCTGCACTCTGCTAATGTACCCAGGTGTGGGGGCGACATTGAGTATCTCCCCTGCTCACACGTGCTTCCCTCAGCGCCGTTCCGAAGATCAACTCTTGGAAAGTGTCTTGAGTTCGATAGCAGATAGCAGAAAGCCTCAGCGGCGACCAAATCGTGCGGACGTTGTTGGAGCTCTTGGAACAGTGCCTGAACATGAGGGAGTGTTATCTGACTCAGAGCTGTTATTCTCTGTCTCTCTCTCTCTCCACTCTGTCCCGCTGCAGGCTGGCAATCAGCATATCTTAGAACTGCTTCAGCATGGCCAAATCGTCTCTCACTTTCTTGGCTGCTTCCACCAGTATGCGGGAATGCCACCAGTATCCGGGAAGATTTCGTGAGGAAGCCTCGTGCATGGGCCGGACAGTCTTTACAGAGGGCGAGGCAACAACTGCATTAGAGAATATATCCAGTACAGGTTGCCTGGCATGTGGTCATAAATTTCCGTAGACCCAATCAAAAGAAGCTGCTCCTTGTCTAAGGTCGGTCACATCTTCCGGACGCCTGCCTACTGGAAAGGCACACAACGAGCTACTGTTTGCATGCTCATTGCTTGACCTCTTTCGTGTGGTGGCTTTAGAGATGTTTCAGCCGTGGCCTTCTGAGCACCGTCCATGTCGACGCCATCACAAGATGTGTTCGCTTCATGTCATATTCTTTTGTATCACCGTACATGCAGTCAGAAATGCCGAGCGGTCATGGCAATGGTTGCCGAGTGCTCACAAGCTGGCATCATCACATCGCACGTATGCCTCAGCTATCCGACAAGCCAGCATCACTTCAGGTCAGGACGAGATCGTTCATTGGGGTCATTTCTACGGAGCTGTCCAGCCCGTTTTGTGTCTTGCGGACTGGCTGACCACGTCCACCATCCTCAGTTCAAACGCAGAGAACTTGAGACATCCAATCAACCCCCTGTGAAGTCGCGTGATGTTGTGGCTGTCTTTGTGGCTGATCTGTGGCTGGAAGGATGAGATATAATGCTGTGGTTTCCCTGAGAGACTCCTCAGTGACGAAATGCAATCTGGAATCTCGTTAAGCTGATCAGCCGGCACTGCCCGCATGTCTCCTGAAGATTGTGGCAGGATGACACCTTTCTTGGCTGTGGTTTTCTGAGGGCTCAAACGCTGACGCCATCACATTAGAAGTTTCATGCATCTGACAAGCCACGCCATCTGCTCCACAAGTGATCAGCCCTTTGATGCAAGCTTGAGCCTGTGTTGCTCCGGCAGTGGCGGTTTTGTGCTCGTTGCGGAGCTTGATTTGTGGCTGCAAGGATGAGATGTAATGCTGTGGTTTCCCTGAGAAACTCCGTGACGAAATGCAATCTGGAATCTCGTTAAGCTGATCCATGTCTCCTGAAAATTGTGGCAGGATGACACCTTTCTTGGCTGTGGTTTTCTGAGGGCTCAAACGCTGACGCCATCACATTAGAAGTTTCATGCATCTGACAAGCCACGCCATCTGCTCCACAAGTGATCAGCCCTTTGATGCATGCTTGAGCCTGTGTTGCTCCGGCAGTGACGGTTTTGTGCTCGTTGCGGACCTTGATTTGTGGCTGGAAGGATGAGATGTAATGCTGTGGTTTCCCTGAGAAACTCCTCCGTGACGAAATGCAATCTGGAAT